AAGCAGAGTTTCCACTGAGTAATCTGACTCCATAAACCAACACTCATATTCCTTCCTGTTTTTAAGTATGAGAAGATCCAAGAGCTCACAGGGATGTCTGGGGCTGCAGTTCCTGCTCCAGACTATCTCTTTGAAGTTGTGTATTGTGATCAAATGAATACCAAGTTTGCTGAGACCAAGGGAGAGCGGGACCTCATCTATGCCTTCCATGGGAGCCGCCTGGAGAACTTCCATTCCATCCTGCACAACGGCCTGCACTGCCATCTGAACAGGGTGAGACTCCTGCTATTGGCACTGTCTTCCCTTGGTCACTTGCACGTAGGGACACCTTTTAAAAATAGGCCCAGAATCCTTCTGGGGGTGTGAAATGCACTGATGATCTTGTGCTGCTGTTTTCACTTCAGTGCAGGCCTTAGTGGATGGTCATGTTGGATTTTCTAGTGCAGCCCGAGGGTAAAAACTGGAAGTGGCATGAAACCCTTTTATCCAGCATGACAAATTATGACTGTCCTTTGCTTCTTTGTAAGGAAGTGTAATTCCTCTGAAAGTACTGGCTTGTCTGACAGCCTGCAGCTGGACAGTGCCTATCCACAAAGGTGGAGGAGAATAGTGGCCCAGGCATTGTAGAGATTCTCTTTCTGCATGGCCTCGTGTTTAGGTCAGCAAAGTTTTAGGTGCTACTCACAAGCGGAGCCTTCTTTAAATGGCCTGGTTTAGGGAGACATCCCGTAGGATTTGCACCTCTTCTGATTTCAGTGGAAAGGCAGTTGGAACTCCTGGCTTTTTGTGTCAGCTGTAAGGCAGCTTTGACACAGCACCTGCTTGACCTTCCAGTCAACCTGGACTATGCCTTTTCCCCACATTCTAGATGAGTAATGGCTTACCGGGTACAATGTACTTACTGGATTAACAATTTTAGCCAGTATGGCAAATCCTCTGATTCCAAGTTATTAAAACACTTTTATTTGAAAGGCATTCATAACTGAAAAGTACTTCCCTCTTTTCTAGTAAAGCATGGATTAATCCAAGTAAGGCCTTGCCTTGTTGGGGGAGGCTGGATTATTTAAATGATGACAATCTCGATAAATCAATGAAATGCCTTTTAACAGCAGGGCAGTCATGTTGATGTAAAATACTTATGCTGGTAAATGAAATCCAAATCCGGGAAAGCGTGAATCTGTCCACACCAGGGGCTGTGCCAGACAGATAATTTGAGGGATAGGAGAGGGCAGCAGCCCCACCCCGAGGAAGCTGTGCCAGGACAAAAACAGTGCATGGACCAGGCCCAACGCGGGTCAGGAAAGCCTTTCGTAATTTACCTTCAGAAGCAGAACTGTCAGTCTGAAAGCAAAGAACACTTGTATGTTGTTTGAGGTTTACACTAGAGGATTTTAGGACAGATTTCTGCTCTGTTTCAGACGTCCCTGTTTGGTGAAGGCACCTATCTGACCAGTGACCTGAGCCTGGCTCTGCTCTACAGCCCTCACGGTCTTGGCTGGCAGCGAAGCGCACTGGGCTCTGTCCTCAGCTGTGTGGCTGTTTGTGAGATCATTGACCACCCAGATGTGAAGTGCCAGGTGAAAAAGAAAGGTGAGTCTACTGCAGTAATAACTCTATGTAGTAGCTACATCTGTGCTTCATGTTGTTTTTCTTTCCCTGTTAATATTAGCAGCTCCTTGAGCACTGGGTGGGAGACCCACCTCCTTGTCACCCTGGTCTGGGCCATAATGTCATCCATACCAAGGATGACTAGGAGTGGTATAGCCTCAGGCAAACTTCTAGGTCTATTCTTGGATGCTGAGGGATTCAGGGGAATACCAAGACTATATCTTTGGTTATCTCATTCCCATTCTTCTGGTGGGTGTGTATGTGTGTGTTGGTTGGTTGCTTTTTTCACAGTTGCTTGAAGTTCTGTGTATTTTTTTTGCTTTTCTGTTCCCCCCAAACCCTCTTCTTTTCTCCTCCCAATTCAGATTCAGAAGAAATAGACAGAAAAAGAGCAAGAGTGAAGAACAGCGAAGGGGGGGATGTACCACAGAAATACTTTGTTGTCACAAACAACCAGCTTTTACGAGTTAAATACTTGCTAGTATATTCACAGAAACAGCATAGGAGGTAAGAGTTCAGCTGTCTAGAGTGATGAGTGTGCTATAGCAGCCAGATAAACACTTCTTATTGTTGAAAAGCAACAGAAAACAAGCAAAAAAAATACACTGCACTGCCAGAATTTGTTTTCAGCCTGTTTCCTATGGAAATGAGACTTACAGCATCATGTTGCTTCTGTCTCACTCTTTGACCGTTCTCAGGATCAACTAAATTTCCTTTTTCACCAGACCTGTAAGCACTTACTATCTTTGAGAGCTCTAATAATCTGTTTGTGGCAGGAGACCAAGAATGAAAGTCTGGTGAGTGTAGCTCTTAAAACTGGGGCAGTTTTAATTCAGCTCTTATCTATCCTGAGTGGCAGCATTCGCTCGACTAATCAACACATGCCTGAGGGCCAGGCAGCTGCAGCTCCAAACCACAGGGAAAGGTGTGAACATGGGAGAAAACACAGGATTGTGCACGGAGATTTAGGGAAAAGGGATGTGGTGAAAATCAGGCTTTGTTAGTTACAGGGATTGTGGAACAACTTCCTGTTTTTATTGCATTCTCTTAACCACTTAAAATAATGAAATCTAAGGTACTCTTTGCCAAGGTATCCACGCATCTCTGACAGAATCCATGCACTTTTCCCTTTTCAGGCCTTCTAGTCAGTCTTCCTGGTTCTACACCCACCGTTTTGCCATAATGATGATGCTGTACCTGCTGTTGTTGATAGTGATTGGGGCCAGCAACTCGCCAACCTTCATCTACTACTGGCACAGAATGTTTGACTCGGAGAGATGAATCACCCGAGATAATAAACTGTTATTTTCACCATGTGCCTTAAGAATAGCTGATCTGCAATGCACTGCATCTGTTCCAGAGCTCTGGAAATCGAGGTGCCTGGAGCTTTCCAGTTCTGTCACCCATGTATTAAATCCTCATGGCATCTCTTCATTTATTCTTATTTCTGTGTTCCTCTGATTCATGAGGATGCCTGGTACAGCTGAAAAGGATCATAGTGGTGCAACCTAGCATGAACCAATTGTTAAGGGTCCATGGGAAAAAAGGGTATTTAAGATTAATAAAAACAGTGTGGAAACACTCAGGTGTAACTTATTTTCTGTCAAGCTGAGGTATTTTTGCACAACTGGGAAAGGAGAAGTTTTCTGTATGTCAGGCAAAGCAACCTGTTAGGAGTCTTATCAGTATGTCTTCAGAAACTGAATTTAGTGTTTAGCATGTATCCATGCAGATGGGATCACTTTTAAAACTAACTTTGGCCAGGAACTTTTATATTTGAGCATAATGATTGTAAGAAAACAAAACCAATAAACCAACAAGAAATAAAACAACTGCCAAAATGGAAGAAGTTAAATGGTTTCTAGTATGTTTTTTTTTCCCCTCTGTAGAACATTGTTGTGTTTTAATCCCAGCTGGCAGCTAAGCAGAAATCCAAAACATAGTCCCTACACTAGCTGCTAGGAGGAAAATTCTCTCTACCCTGGACAAAGCCAGCACAAACATCTACAAGGCTTGTGCTCTCAGCCATGATGTGTCTTGTCCTTGGTTAGTGTGCAGATCAGACAAACTCAGGCTGTTCATCATCAGTGCTGAGTAAGGATTATTCTTATCAAACTGGGGATTTGTTAGAGAACACATACACAGGTATGCACAAGTTGTGCAACAGACACAGAGCAACACCTTCCACTTCCTCGCTAAGTCATTTGTTACACAGCAAACTACAACTACCTGAAACAGAGAAAGGAGCAAAGAACTATCCTCTGATTATTGCCTGGGCATGGGATAACCCCATGAAGACCCAGGGAAGTTGTAGGCAAAGAAAAGCCAGGTATGTGCCACAGTTCAGTCTTGCAGCCCAGTCTTTAGCAGACTTGATAAACACAGGTTTTCATTGCACGGTGAACCCTAACCACAAAAAAGAAAAAAAATCTCATCACATTTCCAGCAAATGAGTCTGTGATTGCTCCCTTATTCATTAAATATTTCAAAGAAAATCTCATCTTCTTCTGATGTTGTTCTGGTACCTAACTGCCAGAAATAATGTCCTGATAATCAGGTTTTCTTAACTCAAGGCTGAGAATAAGTTGATTTCCAGAAACCCCTCTTCTTGATGGCTGGAGCTAGACATATTTATCCCAGTTAATTGTGCTGCCAGAATAAATTTATTTATTCACCATACAACTTGCAAAACAAGAACATTATAATCCAATTCCCCATTGCCTTGTACAGCCCGTTAATAATGCTCAGTGTCAAAGCATGTTGTGGTGCCTCAGCCCAAGAAGTGTCCATGCTAATTATAGCAGTGATTTGCAATTAAAATATACATAAACTTAATAATTTATTGTGCAACAGATTCAACTACTTTGTAGTAGTTTACTCCTTGGTATTTCAATGCAGAAACTTGGGGTTTGAGACACGTGGGTCCTGGGAATAGGTGCCCATTTTTGGTCCACCTCCACATGTTATATTAAATGTTGTGCCATATAAATATCCAAGTTTAGGGGAGGTAAAGTGCGAGGCAGAAAAACCTAGAGTATTTGATGCTGGGTAGCTAAAAGCCTTATATGTCTGAAAAAAACCCCCATCTTTTGGAACAGATGGGCTATTTGGGGCCCTTTGGAAAAGGTGGAGGTTTGGCAGCAGTTGTGGGATGGCTGTCTTCTGGCACTGCAGGGAAAGGCACAAACCTGGGAGCTCCTGAGCCAGATGACAGGAACACAGCAGGGATTTGAAGCTCTTTTCTTAGGGTTTCTTTGCATAGGAAAGTTTCTGAGAGTAAGCAAAAGGAGTAATAATAGCTCCAGGCTATATCCCTGGAGAGAGAAAGTGTTGTGGGGACTCATGGCAGACATGCACAGTTCAGCTCTTCAATGAGATCAGCAGGTATTAAAGGAAAAAAACCAGCTTTTTCTGTCTTTATCAGTTTGAATAGACTCAAAAAAAAAAGGGGGGGGGGCTGCAGGTAGAGGCTGAGTCCTGATATAGTGTCTGGAGTGTCCCTTGGAGGGCTCATAGCCCCATTCCTTGCTCTCAGGCCTGCAGGGATGCTGGGCACAGCCTCCTCCGTGCCCCAGCTCCACAGCTGTGGAGCAAAGCAACGGGAAAATATTTTAAATACATCTAAGATACTCACATTCTACCTAGTGGGCTGGCAAAATACTTAACATCCTACTCCCACGCTTGTTTTCTGTGCTCCCTGCTGATTTCAGCATGTGTTTCCCAACGTGGCGAGGTGCAGTCAGCTGGATTAATGCGGGTATTGTGCTGAGTAACTAACAGTATTATGAATTAACCCAAGGTTTGTGTTAGCCTCTTAAGCCACTTGCGTGGCTCTTTGAACATGCACAGTGCTATGAAAACACTAACAGGGAATGAATCAGAATTTCCTCCCGAACAAAGGGCCGCTGTGTCTGAAACGGGTGGCCCAGGGTGAGGAGTTGTAAAATATAGAGCTACCTGTGCTTATTAATGTGTTTGTTACATTACTGTGGTGAGTATTAGAGAACTGTTACAGAATCAGACAAGCCTGGTCCTGCAAGGAGGAGTGTGGCAGCTGGTGCTTTCTGGTGGGGATGGGCAGGTTTCATGGGAGGATTTTCCTCCCATAAGGGGAAATATGTAATATATACATAAATATAAGGGGTTTTTTTCCACTATATATATGTATGGAGATCTCAGGAGCCAGCTGAGGAGAAGGGCTGTTGGAAACCAGGGGTTTGAGGCAATGTGGGGAGAGAGGGAACCTCTGAAGAAAGCAGGACCACCCCCAGGGCAGGGAGAAGCGAGGCTCTGGGATTCATGCTCCTGGTAAGTGATGCAAAAATCATGTGCTCTCTGCAGTATGAGCAAATTTAAGAAAAGCAGAACCAGAAATAGAGGAATATCCAAACCAGGCCTAGCTTTGGTCCACCAGTGACAGGACCCAAACCCAGGTTAATCCCAGCTCCCCCAGGGAGGTGCTGCCCACGTGCTCACTCCCCCTTCCCGCATGTGGTGGGCACACGGCTTGGCAGCACACTCTTCCAGTGACATTTTCCTTCTCTCATGAAAACTGTCACTTTGGGCATCTTGCCCACTCTCCAGGCTTCCCAAAATCTCCATTTGAGCACCAGCAACAGGAGGGAAGATATCAAAGAGGTGGGCAAAAGGAACAGCGCTGGAGTGCCCACAAGCATCCCCAGGGATGTGCCATGCTTCCCCTAAGGACCAAGGTATGTATACTAACCAGCATCCCAGTTTTCCTACTCTTCATAGAGGTCTTTTCCAACCTAGAGGATTCTAAGATTGAGTCCACCTCAAGCCGAACCTGCTTCAGCCCTCTCACTGTACCCATGGGATGTAAAGGTGGTGGATCCCTCACAGAAGAGAAAAAGTGCTTCTTGCTCCTCAGAGATCTCCAAAGCTCTTCTGCTGCTGGGCAAGAGAGGACACATGGTCTTAAGTGCATGAGCAATGCCAGACCTGCCCCCTCTCACTCAGCAAGAAGTAGATGAAGAAAGTTTTCAGTAGATTAAAGACACTTTCCTGCTCATTGAAGGCTTGCCAGAAAAATCAGCACATCTTCAAGTTCTGCCTCCCATCAGCCATCATAAGCAACATAAACAGAGAGACCAAAGGAGTGCTGATGAGTATAGCTTCTTCTACTGCCAGCCATCTCCACCACCTTACAAGAGGCCCATTTTTGCCAGCCTGGCATCAGCCAGCCCCTGCATTGTGTAATTAACCTTGAGCAGGATGAGCCCAGGAAAGTCATACTGTGATTAGTCATCTTGTTGGAGTTTGGATGCTTCCTAAATGGCTCACACTAATCCCCACCAGTTGGTCTGGGCTCCTGCAGTTCTAATTGATTTTTTTTTTCTTCTTGGTCAGCGTATTTAGCATAAATTGTTAGCATGGGGAAAGGCAAGTGCCCAACACCAGACTACAGCTAACCCTGAGCACTCTGCTTCCCGTGTCCTCATTGCCCAGCCTCAGTGAGCCTGCAAAGACTGCTTACCACCCCTCCAGCTTTAATAATTTGTTATCTGGGAGACCAGTGCAGATCCTTTCTGACTGATGGGGAGCCATCCCCTCTTGGAGACAAGATTGAGAAAAAGCCCCCTCAATACCCAAGGGAAATTTGCTTTCTTGGGCAGAGACATCTTCCAGCTCCCTACACATGCAACCACAGCAAGCCAAGAGTTGTTTTTAAAACAAAGCTCTTTCATCCTGATAAAGTCCAGATGCATGTTCAAAGCTGAGGTGGCCACAAAAACAGCCAAGGAAGTGCTTCCTGCCAAGTCCAGAGCTCCTGACTGCCCAAAGTTTCACAAAACTAAAAAAAGAAACCCAACAACCTACCTGGCTCAAAACTAAATTTCTCTTCAAAAGGAAAAAACACATTTAATAACAATCATCAGAGAATGAAAAAAGAAATAATCCACTATTTCTAATTACCCGGAAAGGACAACACCCATCTCTTCAATGCATACCCAGAGAAGAGACCTCCACATTCTCAAGCAACCTTTTGGCATAATGGTAGAAAGCAAATAACCCATCTTACTCACCACAGCTCAGCTGACTCCTCCAGAAGCCTCCTTTGCCCTCACAGAGCAGCCAAAGAGCGTCAGCCCTCACCTGGCACTGATAAGTACTGATGGGCCCCTCCATCCACCAGCTGTTTCCCTGTTGGGACACTTCTGGCATCACCTGTGGGGTGTCTGCACCTCCCCTGCTTGGGCAAAGCCAAAGAGCTGGCACTGGACTGGCACTGGGCAAAGCAAATGTGTCCAGCAAGTGGTCTGCAACCTGCCAGCTCGTGCCCTGGGACATGGGGACAGAGAGGTCCAGAGGGGTCCTGGGCAGGGTCATGTCTGGTTGTCACTCTCTGATTACCCCAAACACCCTCCCTCCTGGTCAGCCCTGTGTCCCAAACTGCTGTGTAAGGATGTGTCCATACCATCCCCTGCCCACCAGAACATGGAGCAGGGACTGTTTTCCCTTCAGGTTATCTCCAAAAGGGAGAAGAACCCCCACCCTATACCTATCCCCCTGTGGTTCTTTATACCCTTCTTGTCGAAGCCAATCCATCCCCACAGAACTAATGCCCTTGCATTAGTCAACCCTCAGATATTTAGATCTTTCCCAGGGCTTGTCACACAGCCATGGGAGAGCCAGGCAGGCTCTGAGCCAGGAGATCCAAAATTTCCAGGGAGCTTTTCCTACAGTGGGTGGAGAAAACGGAGTAAAAGCCTGTGATTGCACCTTTGCAGCCTCAGGGTGACACCATCCACGCATCTCCACACCAGGGTGTAGGTGCAAGGGGCACTTGAAGACTGGACACCCCATGGACATGGCCCTGGACCACAGAGGACATGGCCAGTCTCCTCCCAGGGGTGGATGCTGGAAGTGTGCAGAAGCTTAACCCCAGAATCAGGGATAGAGCATGCGTAGGGTACGAAAAGGATGTTTTTCTAGTTGTCACAGGGCTGCCAGAATATGGCAGAATGACCATAAATACCCCCAAATGTTTTTCACCCTGAGTACAGTCAGGAGATACATTGCCTGTTCCTGGCCAGAGACCCTCACCCACCAAAGCTGGGTGGCAAACCTCCTTAGAACAGTCTGCAGAATGATCCTATGGGACAAAGCAGCCCCAAAGCTGTGCCTCCCTTCTCCTTGTGGGTACGTCTCTCCATCAGACTGCACTGACAGTTGTCCCATTGGAGCCCCCTGAGGCCACTCCACCATTTACAGCACCATCCTTGATGTTCTTCCCTGAGGCTGAGATGGGTTTGTGTCTCTTGTGCCTGGTGATAGCTGTTTCGATGCCCCTGAGACACAACTGCACGTCCTCCCGAAAGGAGGGGGTGTAGAGTCCATAAATGACAGGGTCTGTGCAGGTGTGCAGCAAGCCAAAGAGGAAGAAGCTGTGGTTGACATACTCTGGCATCTTCTGGATCATGGCTGGCTGGAACCAGTACCACAGGCCCAGGAGGTAGTATGGGGTCCAGCAGATGATGAAGGTGGCAACAATCACTATGGTCATCTTGAGAGTCTTCATGCGTGCCTTGGAGATATGGTCATTTTGACTTCTTGTCAAACCTGCCAGGGAGAGTCAAAGGGATAGTTGGAGATGGGGGGAAACCAGGAGAACATAACCATCTTTGCTTGTGCTTCTATCAGAGCAGAGAGACCATCTCGTGGTCCAGTCCACGGCCCACAGGAAACAGAAGACAGCAAGGAACAGGGTCAATTAGTTTGTGTAAAACCCCTTAATTGGTTTTTCCTTCAAAGGGTGTGGGGACAGACCAAACAACAACTCCAGGCTGGAGCAGGTTCAGTCATGGAGTCATGATGGACACTAAAGGGCGGGGACCTGCTTACCTTTATTGATCTTTAGCTGCCTACTGATCTCCCAAAGGATCCTGATGTAGCAAACAACCATGACACTCAGGGGGGTGATGTAGAGGGTGGTGAAGGTGAACATGTTGTAGACAGTTTCCTCCCAGTGCGTCCGGAAGCTCCCGTGCGTGACACACTGGGTGAAGTTCCCTCCCGGAATCGTGTGCAAGTGGAAGAGGAAAAGCTGAAATGGAGAGCCAAAGAATAACTCAGAGAGGATTTGGAACAGGTCCTATGTCCTGTGCATGGAGGGCAACTGGGAGAGGGGCTCTGGGCACCTAACTCATGGTTTGGTTAGGATGGATGGGATCTGACAGCTGAGAAATCCTGTTTTCTCACCATAAAGAATGTTATTATGGTCAGGAACTGCCCAGATTCATCTTGGTCTGCTCCAACATGTTTTGCAGTGGTGCAGTGTGGATTTTTAGGAGAAGATTACCATGTGCACAAGGAATTAAAACATAGTGGACACTGGTTTTCCCCAGCCCTGATGGTGGCACTGAACAGGTGCTGTGAGGAAGGTGCAGAGCAGCCCTGACCACCCAGCACACAACCATGCTGCTTCCCTCAGGCAGAGCCAATCCAGTAGTAGTGGAGTCCATGGATTGGGATGAACTGGTTGGGAATCCCTTCTCCAAAACCACCCCAGCCTGGGCAGACTCCACAGGGTAGGGCACAGGGCACAGAGCCCTACCTGGGGCAAAGCCAGGAGCACGCTGCCGGCCCAGGCGGCGCGGAGCAGCATCCCATTGCGGCGGTGAGCGCGGGAGAAGGGACGGAGCACGGCCGCGTGCCGGTCCAGGCTGATGACCACCAGCACCAGGGCGGCTGCGTACATGGCAAAGAGCTTGAGGAAGTTGAGGACCTTGCAGGAGATGTCCCCTCCATACCACTGCACCGTCACGTTCCACGCCGCGTCCAGGGGCATCACCGTCACTGTCACCAGCAGGTCGGCCAGAGCCAGGCTGAGGATCAGCGGCTGCACGTGGGATTTCCTCCTCTTCCTCAGCAGGCTGCCCAGCACCGCCGCGTTGCTGCCCGCCGCCAGCAGGAAGAAGATGGCTGTGATGATCACACGGACCTTCGCTGCTCGCGTGAACCGTGGCTCAACCCAGTACTGAGGGTAGGCAGAGGCTGAGACATTGGTGTCCTCCCGCCTGGTGGGGCAGTGGGCAGATGGAGGGAGCTGCTCCTCGCTCATCCCCTGCTGAAACACGAGTGGCAAAGTGAAGCCCTTCTTAGGGGCTGTGTAGCGTGCTGCAGCTTCAGTGTAAGGAGAAATGGGGAGAGGGTGGGATCTGCACTGGAGGCACCAGCAATAACCTGCCAGACCTGCCCCGTCCCGTCTTGTCCTGTCCCCTCTGTGTTGCCCGTTTTGCCAAGGCACCACGTCCCCCAGGTCCGGCCGCCCTCCCTGGCTCACCCCTGCTGTAGCTATAGTGACGGCTCACACAGACATATATTTTTAGCTCCTTGCGAGGCGGTTGAGCAGCTGGGAAGCAGGAGTGGTGGCCAGGACCATGGGACCAGTTGCTGTCTGCCAGCGTCCTGCTGGGAATGGGTCATACCAGAGCTGGCTGAGCCTCTGCTGGGGCAGCCGTGCTCGGTTCAAGGACTCCTCCTTCCTAAGGGGGTTTGCAAGCAGGGATCATCTTTTCAGAAACCCCACGGCCCTTTCCATTAATGTGTTAAATCTTAATGGTCCACCTCTGGTGCTGGATCTGGGGCCATGGTTTGGAGCAGCCAGGGGTTGCCAGCAGGGGAAAATGGGGATTCCACACTGTTCAGGGACTGACAGGGGCTCTAGGGAGAGGATCACAGTGGAATTTAGGAGCCTGGACTTTCACAGGACCCTGGCAGCACCAGCTCAACATCTCTGTACCCTTCCCTTCGTAAGGCAAAGCAGGAGGAGAAGGGGAAGATAGAACCCCCCCTACACAGGGGTGGCACAGGGGTGATTAGCAGCATGGTGGTCCCCCATGCTTGATTTGATTGCCCTTTTTTTCCTGAGCAGACCTCCCATTTAAAGGGCTAATTCTTCCAACTCTTACGACATGAGCTTTTAACAGTCCCAGCTGCAGGTACAGTACATCTCTTACTGTTTCAAGCACCTTCCTGTTTGCTGATCCCAAAATAAAGCATTCCCCACCTTTGCACAGATAACAGGAGCAGCAGAGATCAAATCTCCCCAGCTCTGCAGGATGGAGACGCCAACACCTTGCAGCAAACCACCCTCCTCCAGCCCCACCACCCGCACCCCGAGCCCCCATTCCCTCGCTGCCTTCACCCCCTCCCTCCCCAAAGACCAGCCCAAAAAACAACAAACTGCAAAAATAAAAGGCAGTTAAAAAGTACCAAGTTGCTTTCTGTCTGTCTGGAAGAAATAAGGAGAAACCCATGTCCAGGTCAGGATTTATCCTGGCTGATGGGAACATACCTGGCATATGCATGCCCTGATGCCAAGAGAAGACGCTCCGTGTCTTTCCTACGGGTCTCCCACTGCTGCGGTGCTGAGTCAGGATGCTCCAGTGTTTCTTTGCATCACCTCCCTGCAACAAACCTTGAAGCAGTAAAATCTCCCCTTGCCAGCGGCCAAGCCGGGAGCGACGCTGCTGTTAGCACAGGCGTATGCAGGCATCTGGAGATGGGAATGCTGCTGCAAACATTCCCTGCACCGGCAAACCCAGAGTGGGGCAGGCTGAGGTGGGCACCCACGGGCAGCCTGGCTCAGGCAGCCATCACCACCCCTGCCCTCATCAGCTTAACGAGCTGCCCTATTAATGAGCAGGCAGTGGGGATGATGACAAAGCTGCTGTACTGCAAGAAATGGCCAAAATTCAAAATGTTGTGGCCAAATGTGGCCCTGTGAGGGATAAGTGCCAATACTCCCTGCACTGGCTTGCTATAAATACAGGAAAATGAGTTAATTATCCCTGGAGTTGGTGATGAATGTCCCGTTGCTCAGACAACCGGGAGACTCACAGACACACACACACACACACACCCCCACACACACACCCCTCAGCAATGCTCCTGGACCACACGGGTCCGTGGGAGCATCACAGGTATGTGCCTGGACTGGAAATGCTGCAAGGAGGGGATTAATAAGAAGAAACTTGGGGCGTTTTGCCACTGTAATGAATACACTTTTTTTCTCTGCACTCTATCAGTTCCCATCTTCTTCTTTCTATGTTTCTTGTAGCATAAGGCAGTGAGAGGGAAGGACCTTGAGAGGGACAAAGAGCTCACAAGAGCTTAAAAAATATGATATGCAATGCAAGGGCAGGGAGGGAAACTGAGAACACCCTGCTCCTCTGGCCAGCAAAAGAGCTGTAGGGGTGACAGAGGGCCAGCCCCATGCCCCGCTGGGGCCAGCACCAGCAAACACCTTCCCAGTGGCACCTTGGGGACTTTAATGACATGCAAATAGACCTTCACATCTCCTAGGCTATTAAATTAAGGAGTACATGGTGTACAGATCTCTGCAGGTCCCAGGCTGGCAGTGGTGGCTCTGCATTTTTCCCCAGGAGGAGGAGGAGATTCACTTTCTGGTATAGGTTTTCCATCATTAAACCCATTCCCACTTATTTTCAGGAGGAAATGCCCAAGCTCTGAGTGTGGTTGCACCATCTTTGAAATTGCTCTGCTGGCAGGAGTGCTCCTGGGCACAAGCAGAAAAGGACTTTTTCCCCTTTGTGGGTTTAAGAGTCAAACTGTGTGGCAGCGGGAGCAGCCCCTGAGAGCAAGAGATGCTGCAGGCACTGGACCACGTTTGCCCTGGAGTCCCCTAAAACCTCCATCACTTCTGCATGGAACTGCCAAAAGGGATCAGGCTGGAAACTCTCTGCTTGAAGCCACAGAGGGAAATTCCTGCATTCAAAGTGCTTTGCATCTGAGGGGAAAGAAAAGAGCAAATCCACCATCTCCACTGCCCATGAGCACCAGCCACTCCTGCAACATGGGAGGGGACTGTCCCCATCACCTCCTTACCTGGCAGGGGCATCGCCCCTCGGTGCCACAGGAACCAGCCTGGTCCCTGGGAGAAAAATAGCAGAAAACCCACAAAGAAGTTGGGTGGAAACCTGTTTGTTACAGCAGCCACCTCCTCCTGGTGTTGGGCTCCTGCTTAAAGCTGAGATTCAGCCCCACACACTCATCCTTATTTTTGCTTTCGTTTAGCCCTTTGCACCTGCACGAAAGCAATTAAATAGCGAGTCAGGAATGTATTCCCTGTTTGTCCTTCGTTCTGGCTGGTGGCCTTTTTGTCTAGAAATGTCCTCCTCATCCCCGACTGTATGATGCAAGAGAGGGACAGGATTTTTCTTGGGAACTGTAAGCCTTGCTCATGATACAACAAAGCCTTTAGTCCCTGTTCAGAGAGGATTTTTTTAGCATACCATCATGCAGAAATGTCCTGGGCATGCATTAGCAATAAGTCTTATTTTAAGGGTGGGGTCCCTAATTGAAATGACTATTTTTCTCCGGCGTTTGCACAGTAACCCCCTTGTGTTTTCTCTCTCTTTTTTTTGTTCATCTCCTCAAAGGTCAGCTTGGATGTTGTCTGCTCAGCAGCCTTCAGCCGAATCTCTGAACACTGGTTTAACAATCAGAGCGGTTTGGTCTCCAGGATTAGGAAACAGTGCTGGCAGGAAGGGCTTGTTTCCATACATCCCAGCTTGGCTCTTCCCAAAACCCTCTCCTTTTGGGATAGTGCCCCAGTACATCCCCAGAGTTGCAGCCCAGCACTGGGTCACGAGGGGACAGAGCATCCCCCAGCATCCCCAAATAGGACTTATCTCCCCAGATCCCCACAGATCATCCCAGGATGCTGGAGAAAACAGAAACCAGAAAGCCACACTGGGTAGCACAGCCTCAGTGGCAATTTCTGCACGAGCAGACTTTAAACAAAAGTGCTGTGTTTTTCCATCGGACATCCCATATAAACTGGGATCTTATCCAGGGAAAACAGCGTGGGATATAGTTTCCATTAACCTAGTGCAAACGCAGGGCAGGGAACCTGCTGCTGTTTATCCTGATAAATCAATGCCGGGGTCTTGGCTTCCCAAAGAAAGAAAAACTTGTATTTTCCCCTCTGAGAGAAACTCCAGCTGCTGGGAATTATGGGGGAGTAACAATGGGTGATTATTTGGCTGGACCCATCACCTGCACCCTCACCCCAGGCAGGTGCTTCTGCCAGGCTGTCTGCCAAAACCTCCCCTACGCTCAGAAAAACCTCACCATTTCAGGGGGTTTTTAAATTCTGATATTTTTTCCCCCTCCAATTATTCTCCTCCTCCTCCAAACCTTGAATTGTCTCGTCCAAGGAAATTTTTGTCTCATACTGGACTCGAAACAGAAAGTCTAGTCAGGGACATCTGACATGCAATGTTTTTGTGAGTAAATACCAGCGTCCATGAAGTCATTTCCCGGGGTTAGAAATGAGCTCACCTTTGGAACAGCTTCTCTTCTTACCCAAAGTTCACAAGTCAAGCAGTTGGGAAGCTCCCAGTTTTCTACCTTCTCATTAAACAACAGCATCATAAAAACCAGCATGGTGCCACCTCTGGCTGTATGCTACAAACAGGTCCTGAGCAGGGCATCACCCAAAATTCCCTAAAATCTTTGCAGCAAAAGGCAGAGGCTCAGTGGTCACCGGGGATAAACCAGTACCTCATTCTGCCTGCTCAGCCGGCCCTGGCTGCTCTGCCGAGCCTGCCAGGGTGGATGGTAATTACTGCTCCTCTGGGGGATAATCTGGATCATCCCATCCTCCTCCTAAAAACCTTTGTTTAAAGCAGAGGGAGGGATCTCTCCTGCCCTCCGGGCTCAATTACTTGGTAAACTGTGTCTTTAGACCATTTCTTGGTGAAACAATGCGCTGTTTCTCATTCAGCTTCCTACATTGAAGCCTCGCTGATAAAAATCCTTCTCCGAGCAGATATCGCACCATTGGACAGCAGTGCTGAGGAAAACATGCTCAAACCTGCTGCAATTCCCACCTTTTAAGACCCTAGCTAGTGCTTCTGGTGCTGCTGAGCCCAGATATCCAGAGCATCAATCCCAGGGGTTCCCCAAATTTATCACCCCAGACCAAACTCTGTGGTCAAGCTCCAGAAAACATGTTGGGATTTGGTGCCAAGTCCCATCTGCTCACCACCAAGTGATAAAACTTGGTTTTGTGCATGCATTGCCACTACACCCACAGCTCATCCTCCTCACAGCAGCTTTGCTTCCCTGCCCAAGCTGGACTTTATTTGTGGGGAGAATTATTTGGGAACTTTCACCTGGCACCTCAGTCCCATGATGGCCCAGTACCCAGTAAAGCAAGAAAATGATCCATGGGGTGGATGGAGGGGCCATGAGTCCCCTTCAGCTCTGGCATAAACTGACCTGGCCATGGCTCCCACTACCCTAACTGGGTATTTTTCTTGAGCTGGAAGAAATTATGAAATGCCAATGTTTTCGTTGTGACTAACCATGGAAGTGAACAATTTTGCCCTTGTTTTTGGACCGGGTTTAGTTGCTCTTCTTGCCTTTGCCTTCTGCGCCCTCTTTTATCCTCCTCTTTTTCTACTCCCTGTGGGACCTGTCCATCACATTGCTCCAAATATTCTCCTCCCTCCAAGCTCCTAGATTGGATTGTGTGTCTCCAGGCCATATTTCAGTGTTCCTTTTGGATGCTCCTTCCCAAACATGTGCCAGATTCAAGGGCTGGTCTGCTTTGTTGCACTGGGGGAGAGGTGAGATGTGGGGAAAGCCAACATCCCTGCGGGACCCTCAGCAGTGTTACCCGGGGCTTGCAGTAGCAAGAAGCAGGGAACACTTCCCCTGACAACTCTTTCCCATGCACTTCGTATCTCCAAGCAATTTTCAAGGCTTAAAACCACCCCTGGGTCAACTTCATGAAGGGACATGATTCTTTCCTAGGCATTTTGGAAAGGATCAGTGGCTTGGTGGGGCAGATGCCATCAATGCTGAATTTAATGAGCCAGAGATGTGTAATTTCTGCACCCTGTGTTTACCCTTCTGCAAGAAACCTGCTCTGAGCCAAAGTCTGGGGCTGCAAGACTCAAGTATCCCTTGGGATGAGCATCAGTGCTGATATTTCCTTCCATCTGGGAGGCAGCGCTCAATCCAGTGCCGGGAGTGTTGCAGTGAGTTTCTCTCTGGAAACCTCTCCTCTCCCATGCTGCCTTCCCAACCTGCTCCTGGCGGTTTCATCTCAGCCAGGCCAAGGTGCTTCCAGTCCTTCCTTCAGCAGTGCTTGGCACCCACCAAACCCTCTGGTGCGCTCCCGGCAAACACACATTTACCCTCAGGCGAAAGCTGATATGGCCACGTATTCCAGGGGGAATCCCAGCAGCGCTGGAATTAGCTCGGCAGAGACCGGCTTTTCCGAGCATGCCCTTGGCACGACGCATGAGGTCATGAGATGTTTTACATCTCCAGTCGCCCCCATGACCGCAGGCACTCTGGGAAGGGGAGGCATTTCCATGCTGTCTCCTGCCAGTGCAGATGGATGTTGGCAAACTCTTTCGGAGCCGAAACCTGGGGGTGGATCAGCACCAATTATCCCAGCCAAGGCTCAGGTCCACGTTGCACAGTGCAACAATTGCCCTGAAATAAATTCCCAAATGGTTCAACAGGGAGTGCCCACCACCCATTCAGCTCCATCACCTCCACCTTCTGCCCATTCCATATAGAGGTTCATCTGCACACTAAAAAACACCTTTTAACCTGAAGCTCTACTTTCATTGCCGTCACTGTTGCCTCTGGTTCAGCTTACACAGCCTACACATCTTCCCTGTTCTCCCACGTGATCCCTGCAGAGCAGGAGAAAGACAAACTGGAAGAACCAAGCCCTCCCCTGCACACTCATGGATCACATAGGATTTTGCTGGTTTTTAGGAAAAACTGGCTGATGTTTTGCTGGTGTAAATCACTGTGAATCTGCCCACCTCGACCTGGTTCATAGCAAGAAAATCAAGAAGGAAAAGGCACAGATGAGGCAAGGGATCGCCATCCCATGGGTGGGAGGCTGTGCTCCATGCCAGCATGGGTGCCCAGCCTGGAATGCATCCCAGTCCAAAGCCAATGCCCGTAAATAAGAGTAATAAATCAAGGATTTCTTCAGGACCAACTAATTACCCAAATCAACATGGTCTTTGACACAGGATGGTCTTTGTCCACCAAACCCTGTCCAGAGCTAAAGCAAACAGCCAGTAGGCTGTGGGTTGGAGCTCTGCTCCTGCCCTTCCTTCATGGTGTAAATGTCCCCATTGAGGTGCTGCCCTGGCTTGGACCTGACCACATTCCCATCACACCCGTTCCCATCCTGCGACCACTTTTCCATCATTGATCTGAGGTTGTGCAATAGCTCAGGCCCTGCCACAAGCCCACATTTGACAGCAAAATGTTCCCAGCAAATACTGGCATCATTTCAGCACATGGCACCACAATGCTGCCCTGCAAGTGTCCCCGAGCAGTTAATGCTCCAGGGAAAGTTTGGGATGTGCATAACTCATTGAGGGCTTGAAAATAATGGCCTTCTCCATCTTGGAGAGAGTTTTTAAATGAGTCAGGATTCTTATCTTAATTTCCCCAGCTCAGCAATATAATTAAAAAGGGATTTACTATTGAGACACTTCCAGTGTTTTCACAGTATCACCCATCTCTGCTCTTCCAAGCTGTGACGGGGAAGGAAAGACTGCAAACATGGACATGGCATCCAGGAGGGAAATCCAAGTGGGACTCTGCAGTCCAGAATATCCCAGTGACCAGCAAAGCTCCCCCTAGTGAATGTGGGTCTGGGAGTGGGGCTGTATGTATGAGGCGGTGATGCAGGTGACAGTCCCTGGGCACTCGGATAGCAGACATGCCCTGCAAAAGCACTAGAAAAAGCCCTTTTCCTTGACAGATGGAATCACGGAGGAGGGGACACCCCCTTTTATACATCAGGGGGTCAGTTGTGTTGTGCTTGGCAGCAGGCATCTGGGGGCTCACCCTGTGGCCAGACCTCACGACCAGCACAGCCACATCCACTTGCTCTCCCCTCACTCCTGGCTCTTTCATCACTCCAGAAAAAGCCTTCTTGACCTCCACAACTAAAATCAGTCTTTCCCTCGCTCCTGGCTCTCCTGGTGTCCCCACTCTGCACTGCCTTTTATATCTGTTCCATAAATGAGTACA